TTTGGCGAAGGTGATGACCTCTCAAAGCATGGCACGTGGCTAATCTTGCTTAGCTAGTTGCTCGGTTAGTTACGGTGTCAACAGCTTCCATAGTTCCTCAACTCCATTTTCGTTTTAGACAAAAGTCTTGGAGTTCTTGTTACTTTTTTCTAAAAGGAATATCGTGAACATTTTGTTGTATTAGTTGAAACATTGTCTATTTGTTGTGCTATTGTTAGAAGACCAAATAATTTTGAATTTCGGTATTTTTTTTTAAAAGGACAATTCTTGAACAAGATCCTTAAAATGAATGGTTTGAATCATCTGATTGCATTAATGGTTGCACTCGCGTTTCTCGATCACTTTTAATGAATGGTAAAATGAGATCCCTTTATTAATACTGTACACACACAACTAAGAAAGAGAGTATCTATGAAAAGGTTGTACCGTAAAGAGAGACTATGAGACCCGTAAACTTAGAGCACTCAAGTAACAACAATGATGAGTTGAGGGTAGAAAAGAGGAGTTCTTGATTTGAAGATTTGATATGGGGGGGAAGAAAAACTTGTGAGTGTGATTTTGCGTAGCTATTTTTAGTCTCGCCAACTTTATCAAAAATGAATAAAAGGGAGGGTTGTTGTATCAGCCAGCTGACTGCCAGCTTTGCTTGTGAGATACCCTTTGGAATAATTATTGTAGGTATGAAAGTGTGAAGATGCTCAAAGCAGAGGCCATCTAGCTCTTACTTCTTTAGGTAGGGTTTCCATATTCCACAATTGGATTGTTTGGTGAATATATATCCTAATTATGCGCCTGTTCGAGTAATTATCAAGGTATCTAATTAATCATCATCAGGACCGTGAGCATCAATGAATGAAAGAATATATTCACATAATTTGAGGAAAATCCAAATAGTACTTGACGGATTAGTGGTCATGTACCGTAGTTCATTACCATGGTCCCAAAATGTTCTCTCTCTCTCTCTCTCTCTCTCTCTCTCTCTGTGGGTTGTCCAACGCTTATTGAGTCATGAAAAAGTGGCATGGCTTTAGATGGCCAACTCCGTTTCAAAACTGATCGCATGGCAAGATTTGCATGAAAGATTTTTTACGTTAAAGGCATTTCTTGTGCCAAAAGTAAATGCAACATGAAGTATCTATCTACTACTTGTTGACACCTGCATTTCTTTCTCAAGTAGTCAAAAATGTGGTGGGAAAAACAGGATATATATATATATATATATAGGGTGAGGAAGCTCAAGGCTTCAGGTGGCAATTCAGCCCTCAAACCCACATATATTTTTATGGCTTCTCTACTCTTGTTACTAGGAGCGATAATGCAACCCCACCACAATGATCATGTTGTGCTGAATGAGGGAACGGAGGAGTCCAAGCACAGCAATTATCATAATGGGTGGAGTGAGTGCGCCTCTGACTACCACCACCCATGGAGTTTTCTGAGCCACAAAGAGTTTGAAATCAGGTCATGGAGGTTAGCTGAGTATGGTATTTGGCCTTGAGTACGAAACCAGATTCACTACTTTGTTCCTCATAACTCATATCTCCATCGATATAAATTTTACCTCTCTTTATATCATGCAGCTGATACATTCTTGATTCAGAGTACATGACTCTTGGTTAATGTTATTATATCCTCGATGTAACTTGTACAATACTCTTCATTATATATATAGAAATTCTCCTATGCATACGTCCAGATGTCATTATCGTGTGAATGTTATGTATTTTCTACTACCCCTCCTTACTTTCCTCCTTGTTTACAAATTACAATGGTATATTATGCTAGCAGAGTTACATTAATTATTTCAGAGAAAATTAGTGCTAGCCATAAGTTTTATGATATTGGAGATAGCTAGCAACTTATTCATCTTGAAACCCAATTGAAGTTACTAAAAATTAACATGGCCATATCTAGTAGGTGATTTGGAAAGGTGTTAGGAAATTATGCCCTTGATCCCATCTTATACAAAAACATGTGTGAAACAATATAAACGCGATTGAGAAACACAAAAACAAACAAATTATATACAACAACACAAGAATTTGTTAATGAGATTCACTCCATATGTGCTATGTATCCGGGTTGCTATGAGATTTTCACTATTAAAGAAGGAAAGACAATTACAAGCACTAAAGTGTTTCGTCATACTCCCTTGCAATTAGGGTTAGCTCTCTAACATAATACAACTCCCCAAAAGTCATATTCATAGTCTATAAGACTTACGGTTACATGGGTAGGAATTTAAGTCCGAATACGAAGCAAAATTTGAGTAGGAAACAAAACAGGAAAGACGCTCGTATGGTTTCAAATGGTCCGCTGTGATGGGCGATTAGTCGCTCTAATACAACCTTGCAAACATCTCTTTGATCTTTTCTAGTAGTGTGACCAATCGGTTTTTGGACATGCCTCTAACTTGATACCTCCCAAGAAACTCAGCCAAAGCTTCAAGCACTTCACACATAACAAGGCCGCATCTCAAGCAACCAACATCTCCATCATCATGCTAAGAGACCAACTGAAATCGATCACAACTTCAGTTTGTTAATCGCCAACTTAGTCAAAATATCAACATAAGTCAGCGTATGTAATTTTAGTTTGGTTCAATATGCTTGGTCCTTGAATGAAACACATGATTTTATCCGAGTGAATTGCACTCTAACTATATCACTATACAAAACACAACCCTCCTTAATTAATTCCTCCAAGAAGACTTTCAACCAAACCATCTCTCTTGCAGCCTCACTGGTCACCATGCTCGGAAAAAACTATAACACCTTGTAATCTTGAGACCAACTCACAACAATACTACCCACATTACAAACATAAAAAAAAATAATACTCCTCGTATTATCAATGTCTCTTGCCAAGTCTACATCGACAAAACCTTTGAACTCAGACACAATCACCTATAAAACACAGAGACAAAGTACCTCGAAGATACTTGAAAATCCCCTTTACCACCTCCCAATGTTGCTTTCCAGGACTACTATGTACTGACTAACAACTCCGACGGCATGAGCAATGTCTAGTCTAGTACACACACTTGAAACATCCAACCACTGAAGCATAAGGCACACTTACTATATAACCTTTCTTGATCCATCTTAGGAAGATTACATCTCCTAGTTCAGGCTGCTAATTGTGTCAAAGCTATGCTTGATATGTAAAAAGTTCGTCTTAGCAATAACAATTCATTCTTTCTTGTAAATTGAGTTAAGGTAGAACTCAGGATATATCACCCTTTCAAATGTGTCGATTGATGACTCAAAGTACTAATTAATTATTGTTACTAATATGTTTCCTTTTCATCATTTTTCACCTTTATGTTTCGAGTAAATTTTCCGAATGAACCAACATGCACCACTAGAAAAGCTCTACATAAGCCACGGATACGCCCGTGGCCGATCTTAGACTTAGTCATAGACAGCCCGTGGCCAATGGATGTTGGCCACAAATCACAAAACTGTGGTCCAAGTATAGTGTTGCCTTTTTGTTGGGTGTTGGTGTATCGTGAGGTCGTTGTTGATATGAATAATTCATGACCGGCATCAATGATTATTGACCATGGCTGTTGCTCATCTTCGTCCACATTCGAATTTACAGAGAATGACCATGGCTGTTTGAGATATTAAAAGGATGCCTGTCCTTCATCATCCTATTTCCTTTGTATTGCTGTTTTCATTCTGGGCCTTGTCAAAATACTTACTTATTGGTCCATTCTTGGCCTTGGCCTCCCTATGATCGATCAATCCATGCATTGAATTTAAATACTTAATTGGGCTATTTCCTAATGGCTTTTACTTAATTGTAATCATCTCCTTTATTACAATTTTGGATTTTTTATTCTCCCACTAACATTGTTCATTGAATATAAATCGAAGAAGCCCAAATGATCACGTCGGTGTTGAATTTGATGGCAGATGATGTTTTGGTCAAGAACAGTGAATCTAAAAGACTAGCATTTGATAATTAGAATGAAGAAACATGAGTGATGATGATGACTTGTATTATTTTATTCGTTGCCTGCTTAATTAGTCGCCTCATTACATAATTTAAATACATGCAATGTATTAACCACCAATTAATTAATTAATTAATGTGGTAATCTAGAACCGTCTTCATCTCATATAGTTGACCCCCTCTACTTCATCTTTGACATAGACCTGCTTCATCTTCAAGGGTTGCGGCCGTTAGTGCTCCTGCTCCCATCAAAGAAGCCATTGAATTAATCACATCTCTCAAAACTACTGACAAATAATAAGTGCCCCAGTCTTCTTTTATTTTCTCTTCTTTTTTCCCCCTATTCCAACGTCAAAGTGTTGTCACGTTTTACATTCTGTGCCCTTTCTTCACGTTTCAGTAATGACTTGAACAATGATATTTTCAGGAATTTTCTGAAATCTATTATTCTCCTCATAGACGCAACTATATTAAATTACATTGAGTGTGTGTTTTATTCTCCTCATATACAAATTAAGTAACACATCTCTTGATTATTCTATACACATATTTATAATTGACCGAAAAACATAGGTATGTCAGTGCTGAAGACGTGTGTCCCACATATTGGAAAATTAAAGTTTTGCATAATAGTTTATATGATCTTGGACCTTTCCGCTCATTGCCAATTAATTTTGGGTTGGATGCTTACATTCTAATATGGTATCGAAGTATACTATTAACCCGAATAACATAGCATATTGAGAACATTTAAAATTCGAAATTATTGTGATGTGATTTTGATGTACCTAAGTAGTAAGTACCCACACTCAATCCCCCTCTTCCCACTTCCACCGCATGGTCCAAGCCCAGGCCCAATATATATATATATTCTCAAAAGTCAAGCACCAACCCCATCGATGCACTAGATTAAAATTAAATTAAATTACTGTCATGTTATATGAACTAAATATTATTTCACATAATTATTTATGATTTTGATTCATAATGTGTCTAAAAAAAGCAATTTTTATTTATAAGTAATTACATAAAATGGGCAGCTAGTTAGAGTCTCCCCAAAATCAACCTAAAAATATAAAAATATGGTCTGTATTTGTGCTTAATTAAACGCAACAAAAAGTCTCTTTCTAAAGTTTGTCAAATTTGGAATAATGCAGCTGTTTTCTATTCTAGTATGATATGATAACGTCATGGAATCACCCATGCGTCACGTAAGAAAACTAGTATGATGTGATTAGACCCCGATCAATTCCACTGGTCATCACTAAGCTGTTGTTGCAGGAACCATATATTCTCTTCATTCCACAAATTCTCCACTGATAAGTCCCCACCACTTGATGACCAATAATTGCTTTGCTCAAAACCTAGAAAATCTGAATTTGTACCATTTTGGTTGTCTGAACCATATTGATTCGTAGATGGATAGTTCATGAATTGATCAGTAGTAGTAGGGTCCGGAATTGAACAAACTTGAAGCTGATCCGATGACTCTGATGATGAACTGCCCGATGTTTCGGGCATGAAATTCGAATCAATCCAGTATTGAGATTCGGATGCAGTGGTGAGATCGGTACTCTCATGACTGGATTGACCTGGTAAAGATTGAGGCAATGCCTGGATCCGCTCAATAAGGCGGGGAATCCAGACGTAACGCATGGCGTCTTGGAATTGTTTGCTGTTGACGTCACATTTGAGCTGCTTTGCTTGCTTTTGGACTCTTGTTCTCCAATAGTTCTTTATCTCATTGTCTGTTCTACCAGGCAAGTATTCGGCTATCTTGGACCACCTAAATTTGATTTCCATGAAAAACAAAATTAATACAAAGGATTAAAGTTAATAGAAAGAATCTAATCAAAGATGAAAATATATATTGAAAAACTGAGAGCTAGCTTATAATTATGTACCTGTTTCCCCAGCGAGAATGAAGTTGAAGAATTAAAAGCTGTTCTTGGAGGGTTATGTTTCCTCGTCGAACACTGGGCCGCAAGTAATTTAACCATCTTAATCTGCAGCTTTTACCAGTTCGTTTAAGACCTGCAGGTTATTATTTACAACTTTGTTAAGAACATATGTATTGATCATAAGCCAAGGCATGAGTCGATCAAAGAGAATATCAAGGCATAATAATTGACGTCTAGTTATATATATTTTCAAAGGCTTGAAGGAAGAAAAATGCAAGCTAGCTAGTTAAGTATGGCACCACAATTGATATATCGGACTCGACTCGTTATTAGTCTAGTGATATTCTTCTTCAGAGAACATGTCGAAAGATTACCTGCATGGCCAGCCAGTGAATTCCAGCGCCCTTCGCCGTGGATGTTGATGTAATCGAAGAGAACGGAGTCTTCCTCAACTGTCCATGGTCCTTTTCTTAAGTCGACGTCTTCTTCTTCACTTGGTATTTGATCATGAGTTTCTGCTGATGCTGCTGATGAGCCATAACCTGCTCTCACGTGATCATGAACATGAACATCGGCCATATCCATCTGGTTTGAGTTAATTTGAGGATATAGAAATTGGATTACAAAGAATTCAGATTGGATTGTGTTGAGCGGGTAGGATACAGAAATTAATTGGACTTGTTCGGATTTCCTTCGGGGAATAGATTTGAATGTGATATGAGGGGTTTATATATAAGATAATCTGAAGAGAGAGAAAGAGAAAGAGGTAAGACAGAAGAGAGAGAGAGAGAGAGAGAGAGAAGGATTTGGACTGACTATATTACTAAAGAAGAAAACAGTGGCATTTCTACCGCGCGTGTGATAGAACGCGGTCAAGACTCAAGACTCAATTACTTAATAAACAATTCATATTTATTATTCTACTGAGAGAGACATCCTCCATTTGCGCAAGCATACAAAAATTCCATCCATTATATTTAGGGTCATGCTAGGGAGACCAACTTGGGAGACCAACTTGGGATACCAACTCTCTAATAGAGCGTTAATCTGTAGTTTGACCCTTTGACCTTTGCACCCATCAAATTCTCACGCGTCAGTCGTTTTGTGAAAACTTAATATTATTTTATTTGAAGGCGTATATGGGTTTACACCATGTAGACGCAAATGTTCAACGGGAGCTAAAAGTAAATTAAACCTAGGGATGACCTACCAATTAGCTTCTTGCTCTCAAAAACTATGATGTGTGGTTTGGTGCATGCACCATAAACCCATGTCATTGGTCCATAGTTAGCCAAAAGTTTTAGTTATTGACTATAGATGGATTTAGGTTGACCAAAAAAGACGATTTGGTACATGTGGACTTAGATGTTAATTCAGAGGGTTTCAAAGAATAATTGTGTGTTTAAATGATAAAGTACAAATTACTGAATTCTTTAGGTTTTTTTAGAGAAAGCGATATGATTTTATTCGTTAGACGAAATGAGACAACTACAGACGGGTCATAACTTAAAAAACTACTGGTTACAATCCTCAAATAGAACATCTATATACTTATGGAGGTTAGTGAAGGTAATCCGGCGTTGATGGAGATTTGAATTATGTGGTTGTTTTTGTATGTGGTGGCTTAAATGTCTTTGTAAACAGCATATGTTTGTTGGATTTAGAGAACCTGCAAACAGATACCACCAATATTTTGGTCATTGTTTACTTTATATATATATATATATATAGAGAGAGAGAGAGAGAGAGAGAGAGAGAGAGAGAGAGAGGTGTTTTCACCATAAGATTCTATATTGGTCGTGTTAGGTGAGTTAGATAAGTCCTTCAAATTTTAGTGCAAAGAGTTCTGACTCTGTGAGACCTCGAAGAATATTAAAACAAAACGCTACAGAAGATGCAATTCATTCGTACTAACGAGTTGACAAAAAAGAAAAGTCAATATTTCTCTTGTTTGTTTTTTTACCCCCTCCTTCTAGAAGAATGCAAAGCTGTGGTTTTTACTGAGATATGGTCAAAACTACGCCAATGCTTTAAGTGATTTGAAGCATCTAATCACTTTAAGAGAATGTTTTCTTGATTGTGTCCCTGTGCGTACAATAATTAACTCAACAACTTTTATATATATCACATAACAAAGATTGATATGCACCCAGCACCATAGCCCTTTTTTGGAGTGAAAAGATTTTTATGTCGCAGATGCGCAATGCCTATTAATTTTTCATGTCGAAGACGCGTTAATGCTGACATTCTTTCAAAAATGGTGGGTTTGACGGCCAAATTGACTCTTCATTATATGATGCATAAAGGTCATTTTTTGAGTCGAGTATGAAGTACATTACTGAAACCGACTTTGCGGGTTTGAATCTAAATTTAGATATTCAAGTTTACTTTCAAGAAAATTTAAGTATTACATTTTCGGATGTTGATTTGAGGTCAACACAAACAAAACAAGAATCTAAGAAAAAGAAGAAGAAGACATGGTGTGAGTGACGAGAGAGTGAGAAAGGAAGAAGAAGACGTTGTGTGGGCAACAAGAGAAAAGGCATGGTAGGTTCTTTAATTGAGTTTCATGGATTTTTCTTTTTATTTATTGGATTAATTGGGTTTGCAACTTGTGGGTTTCAAACTGTGAAACGAAGAACGTTATGAAAGAAATATACAATTATCGATAAAGTTTACGTGCCTTCTAAGATTTGGATAAAACAATCATATAATATGTAGATTTATGCAGAGATTTTTTTTATAAGCACTTCTGTTCAAAAACACTTTTATTGAAAACAAATATTTCAGTTAAATAAGTACATTATAAAATATATTGAAAATTCGAGTGCTTAATTATGCTACCTAGAGCTTATCTCATAACCTAATTTTTTTAGCATTTCTATTAGTACTACCAAACAGATCTTGATCCATGGTAAAATTTTATGGATGGACTGAAATTGCCTTGCCTCGGGTGGATCAACTTCAGATCACAGCATTAGATTAGCCAGACGTACCTCGGATTATTATTCTCTGCCTGCCAAGAGCTATTGAACTTTGACAAATATATAAAATAAAATAAAAACGATATATATATATTCCTTTTGGTTATATGCCTACTCCCTTAAAAGAGACTAGAAGGAAGAAAGGCCAACAAAGACCAGCACAGATTCTTACCTTTCAAAGCACTACCCGAGACAAAAATAAATAAATGCTTCGTCATTAACTAAAGCAAGTTTCCAATACCCACTTACCATGCAGATGGCTTCATTTATATTAACATAATCAACCAAAGTATCATCCCATTCCCATTTAATAATTAATAATTCAACCAGCTTCTAGATTCTTACTTATTTTATTCACAACACAAACAAACTCTCATCCATGAGATTTGAATCCGAGAACTTTAGCAAGTGAGTGACAATTAAAATTATTCTATTCTAGAGAAGGGATTCGAACTTGATCCACATTTGCATCAACAAGATCGCCTTATATTTATTTTATTTTTCTAATTAACTGAGTGTACATGGCACATAAATCAAATGTTAAAGTTCCTGTTAAGGAAAAGGAAAACAAAAAGATAGTGAAATTATTCCACATAACAGAAAACCCCGACCAAAAGAAAAAAAAAAAAAGAACAGTCAAAAGTTTTATTAGATAAATGCTTGTAATGGATTAAGTGGAATTTTACCAAAGGAAAGCATGGAGGTATAGGAATAAAAAGTGGAATAAATCCACAAAAGCAACATTACTTTTTTTGTGGGAAGTAATCTAATACTTTCTTTTTTGTGACCAATTTCTGAAAGGTTCATGGCTTTCCCACGAGCAATTATTTAAATGAGTCTAAGGTTCCTCCTGCAAAGCCATCCTCCCTTGGTTAATAGATTTATCATATTGCCGTACAAGCATTTTTCTTTCAATTTTTTTTATATTAATATTTTGCTTGAAATGTTAGGAAATATGCTTAATACTTTCTTATTTAGTGGCATCAACGCAAAAATAAATGAATAAATAATCTCAATCTTTGTTGTGTAAATTCTTGTACGCACGGCACAGGTACAATAACAATTAAGAAAACATTCTCTAAAAGGGATTAGATGCTTCAAATCACTTGGAAGCATTAGCTTAGTTGACCGTATCTTAGTAAAAACCGCAGCTGCATGCATTCTTCTAGAAGAAGGGGACCCTAAAGAAAACAAGAAGAAAGAGCTAGAGAAAGGAGAGGAAGAACAAAATGTTGGCGTGACTTGTGAATTATTGATTTTCTTTTCTTACACACTAAGGATTCTCATTATAATTATATTTGATTTACTTTAATTCATGATTTTCTACTGTAAATAGAAATAGGAATTTATTATTTACTTGGTCACTAAAGCTCTGTTGTATTATAAATATGACCTCCAACAAGGAGAGGAATATACAAAAAATTCTCACAAACAAATATTCTCATATTAGGTTTCATATTTTAGTCAAAAACAGAGAAGATCATAGTTTCTAACCCTGCCTGGAGAACGGGGAGGAAGAAAACAACCATGTCTCTCTCTTCTTGAACATTGATTGGGTGTGTCTGAGAAGAAAAAGTGAAACGATGTGATTAATTGGGATATTACTTTCTTCCATCCAAGTAAAGTACAAATTAAACCATGATGATTATACACTTTCAGTTAAGCGTAAAATGCATTTTCAATTTTGGACGTTGTGATTGTATTTTTGTCAATTTGGCCATACAAAAATAGTAGTTTTGAAATTTTCCTGCTTGAAATCACCACAAAAACCTTGTTTAAACTGATGAATATTACTCAAGGATCATTTAAATAGTTTTGATGTGATTGGTTTCTTCGTGAATTAATGACAAGAGACTAGCCCAACATTTTGTCGACACTATACTACAAAAATTGAAATAGACAGCCATGTTATTTGGTTTCTTCTTGTATTGATGACAGACTACATGGACTCAAGTGCATGCCTCTTACCTATATAAGTGAAACATTTTGCCGACACTACTCAAAAAATAGCAAAGACAATGTCTTTATTCCTTCAAGAGTAATGCTATTTGGACACACAATATTGACACACTTAGTGACACCCGCTGATGTGTCAATGTATCATTTGCTCTTCTTTTCTCCTTGTTTTCTATTCAGCAAATGATACATTGACACATCAACGGGTGTCAACTAAGTGTGTGTCAATGTTGTGTGTCCAAATAGCATTAATCTTCCTTCAAACCCGTCACAGTTGTGACCGACGTATTTTCACACTCCAATTAAGGACAATTTTGCACCATCGTTGATTTCAAATAACGATACACATTCTAAAATCGTTGTCTAATATAGTTATGTAGAATTTTGGCATGTGATTTAATATTGTTGGGATGTTATCCATACGATGATTTTTAAATGTATATTGTTGTTTGAACGTCTTTTCAACAACGATGAGGTTGTAGTTATGGTGATTATACAAACATTCTACAACGAATATTTTGGATAGCCTCACAATAGATTCTACAAAGAAGCCATATAGAAGCAGGGCATTGCTATTTGTATTACTTTTATTGACCATATCGTTGACCACCTCTTTAATATAAGTGGGTCCCATATACACCGTAAGCAAGATAGTTAATAAAGGTGATACAAATAGCATTATTGAGTATTTTTTTTTTTACTTGAGATAAATAGAGGGGGAATTTTACAAGAATAATATAAAACAAATAAGAAATGAT